TTTGACCCAACCTGCCAAGGATAGCCGGAATAATTGGGAGGAACTTCCTACACCCCATTGAGGTATCCCACCAGTCATATAACTCCCAAATAATTGGGAGTGAGACATGGGGGAGTGGAGTGCTACGGATGAAAGGGGAGGGGGAGGTTCATTGAGACAAACTCTCATGCACCAATACCCTACCTCCTTGGATGTAATTGTTGACTTAGGAGCTCTATCGTTATACTCCCTCTACACCATCCGCACCTCCAAGAGAAGGGAGAGATCAGGAAAAACTCTCACAAAGCTCCAGGTTGAAGGAAACATCAACAAAGAAAACCCAAGAGGAAAGGAGGTGGGTTTGAGGTAAGAACTTAATAAACACTTTTTAACTAGTTTTGTATTGTATGATTTTGTAAGAAATCATATAGTGGGTTAAACATGAAGTTTTACACGTTTCAAAGTGTAGAATAATATTATGAAGTGGTGGTATTTAACTTAGGAGAGTTGGTGAATCGATAGGAGTTGAAATCACCGGAAACCGCCAAAGGAAGGAAGCTGTTCGCGGTAGCAGACCACGAACATCGCCCGGCTTTCACGAAAGCCGCCCGGCTTTCACCTTCTGTCCAGATTTTTCACTCTTGAACGGCCTAGAACGGGGACGGATCGAGAGGTTTCGCTGAGGCAGCTAGTTGAGCACATCATAAGGTGAGGATGGCTGACTATATTGCTTATAATCTTTGGGTTAATTTCATGAGATTACCTAAGGTAATTAGATATGTTTTTAAGGATTATTAATGATTAACAATGCCTAAGAATGAGACGACTATTGTCTATAAGAAAAAGGAGCATGATATACAAATTTAAGAATAAATTATGTATGATCATGTGTTATGCGTATGATGATTTGATAATGGGATTAACCATGAAATTATGTTGAAATAAACTTTTTACTTCATATAAGAATGTATGAATGATTGAAAGTGATATTTTGTATATTGATACAAAGATGATATTTTCAATGGAAAATCAGTTGGGCAATTGTAAATAACCATGAATGGAGAACTTGGTTTGGTTGGAATTAACTTGACTAGTATTAATATACTAGTTGGGCATTATAGTGGAATGTTGCTAAAATTGATCCTAAGGTTGGATTGTGAAATACTATGCCTTAAGTAGTCTTAAGAGATGCTTTAAGGTAGGAAAGTATGAACTTTAAGTTATACTAGGGGTAGGCCTTAAGGATACCCAAGATAAAGTAAATAATGAATTGATCCTAGATATAGGATTGACCTACGGGTGTGTTCGGTAGTCCTTGAGGATAGTCGGTTGAATTATGGGAATAAGTAAGGACCATGGCCCTTCCCGACTCTAGAGAGCGGGGTTGGATAGCATGGACTTGCATCATGATCATGGGTTAGGGTGGAATCCGAATCGGAGACCTAACTAGGCTCCGGTAGCGGTAACACATAAGATAGGACCCCGAAGGGCCTTACCTTCCCACGGGATGATGGGTATGAGTCCAGGGGCGGGATGTTGGAGTCCGAACCGAGAGCCTCATGTGGTCTCGGACAGCGGTAGCTAGTCCCGTAGAAATAATAAGACCCATGGGTTAGGTTGTGCAAATGATAACTGAAAAGGGATATGCAAGATGGGCCGTGTGCCGATAAATAAATGAATTTACTTATTATAGAGATAATAAGTGGGAAATATAAATCATTACTTATATTATGATATCACCCTATTTTGAGGGTCTTAGAAATTAAAACGTTGATTATACTTAGTATAGTTGTCATTGTACTTGTCAAATGCTTCCAAGTACTGACCTCCCCTTCACGGGGGAGGCCACCTCACAGTTTTAGGTAGGAGTTGAAGCTTGCTACCATCGCTTTTGCATCAGGGAATTCTAAGAGAGGAGACGTGGTTCGTGCTTCCTCTATTTCCGTTTTCAAAACAAATGTGTTAATTGCTCATGGATATTATTTTGAATAATTATTTGGGGGCTTGTATGCCCGTGTTGTCACGCCCCGGACCGCGTCCGCGCCACGTAGACAACCGCAGTACAACCCAATAAGAACAACGTAGTTCATTCTTATTAGATCATACAAGGAGTCCGTTAGATTCTTTTGCCAAACCGATTAGTAAACTCATACAATCAACATCAATATATATTAGTCAAACAAATGCGGAAAATAAGATATATTTGATACTGAGCCACACGTGGCAAATACGGGCACGCAGGCCCCCAAATGTTTTAATAGAAAACGTTGTTAAAAATATCCATGAGCAGTTCATCAATTTTTGAATAAGAATGGAAGCACGAACCACGTCTTCCTCCTTGATCAATCACCCTAGACGAAGGTGCAGGTAGTAGGACTCTAGCCTCAACCTGAAAAATGTGAGGGCCCCCGAAGGGGTCAGTACTCCATAGAAGTACTAGTGACAAGCAGGCTATATGAGGAATAACTAATGTTTCAGACACGAGACCCAAAAATAGGATGATACATATATATAGGTGTAACCATTGTTACCCCATTCCCAAGATAATACATACTGTATATACTTGTAAAATACTTGACCCATAGGTCGTTTCCTCACAAAAAGTCTTTTAGAGATAAGGTACTTACCCAACCTTTCCCCTTTCATCCTGAATGTCTAGCTCACGAGCTACATTCTACCTTCATAATATCCTACCGAGTTTCGGGAGCGTTTACCGTCCCGGGGATGCTCAACCCCACCGAGTTTTAGGATTGTTTACCGTCCTGAGGATACTCAACCTCACCGAGTTTCTGGGATTGTTTACCGTCCCGAGGATACTCAACCTCACCGAGTTTCTGGGATTGTTTACCGTCCCGAGGATACTCAACCTCACCGAGTTTCTGGGATTGTTTACCGTCCCGAGGATACTCAACCTCACCGAGTTTCTGGGATTGTTTACCGTCCCGAGGATACTCAACCTCACCGAGTTTTGGGGTCATTTACCGTCCCGAGGATGCTCAACCTCAACCTTATTTCTAACCAAACCCTAACCTGGATATGGCTAACCTTTCATTCACTTAACTATGGACAATACCTAGTCCTATAGTCATATAATAATCCCTAGTAACCAACGTGGGCGGGTCCCACTTGAACGACCCACGTTAACCTGCTCAAAACTGCCTGTTTTGGGCATAGTCCAATACCCGGTCGGGTATCCAACCTTACCCGGGCGGGTAGGACGGGGCAGAAGCCCCTGGAATTAACTTTACTTGAGACCCGGTCGGGTCCATGACCTTACCCGGTCGGGTCTAGTGTGGCAGTGGCTTCTGGAGCCATTTTTAATCAATACCCGGTCGGGTATTTACCCATACCCGGTCGGGTATCACTCTTGTCTCGGCGGTCAACGCCCGTTTGACCGCCCAAACGAAGTCCGATTAACGTGAAATTTTATATGCATATTCTACTTGAAGTCCTTGATCCAAAAATACCATTTTTGACCCCTGGATCATTGTACATAATAAGTTATCACATTTTTAATCACCAAACATACAAAACATGCCTTTCAACTTTGTTTTATATATAATCATGGCATAAGCCCATACTTGATTAACTTTAATCATTCCGTAAAACATATCCTTGATTACTTTAGGTAATCTCATGCCTCAATCAAAGGTTATAAAGCATATAGTCGTCTTCTCACCTTAATGAAGCTTATGAAGTTCTAGCCTCCCCGATTTGGCCCCGGTGAAACTCCGGTGAACTTCAACTAACTCCGGCGACAACTCCGGCAACCCTTTCAACCCCGTGAAAGTTCTTGGGATACCTTATGCAAGTTAATAACAAGGTTTTATCATCATAACTCCCATATCAATACAAATAACCTCTAAAAGGTTATTTTCCGGCGAAACGGTCAACTTTGTTCTCTAAATCCGTTTTGGGTATAAACCAACCCTCCAACTCCCATTCTACACTTTTACATGTGTAGAACTCTCCTAGGAGTATGAAATATGATTAAAGAGAAGAAATGGGATTAATGAAGTCCTTACCTTGTTAACAACAAGTTTTCCCACCCGAAACTCCTCTTTTCTCTTCTCTTCTCTCCTCCTTCTTCTTCCTCTTGGTTTGTGCGAAAATGGTGGGTGCTATGGAGTATTTTCAGAGCTTCTCCTCCCAAAGAAGATGGTATAGCCGAGCTGCAATGATTTGGGATGATTGAGAGTGCCTTTTTGGCATTTCTCTCAATAATAACATGGGAGGGGTCCCATTTATTTTCATCATTTTGATCCCAATCAGTTCATGCCCCCTCTCTTATCTATTTGTGCGGCTCTCCTGGCTCTTTGGGAGACTAAGGTCGTGGGGTGGCCCCCACATATGTGGAGGGTCATCCCTTTGTGTCCCCAAGTGTACACTTGGTCCCGAAAGTTGTATTTTCCGGACTGTTTGAACTATATTTCATTTTATCGAGTCAAATGAAATATGTATCATTCTTCCAATCATTATTGGATTTTAGAATGAATATATACTCCCCAACTTTTATTTTAGCGGTCTCCATAATTTATTATGACGTTTATCTGTCAGTACATCTGGTACCGATAAATGGGCTTTATATGCACAACTGGCCAACACACATGGTTTATAACTTTATATGGCCCAACATGGACATCCACCATCATATACATATTATCTAGACTGAGATGAATATAATATGTGGTCCCGATAATATCGGACGGTCCCCACCCCTGGTGTGGGCCCCACGTGAATTTTACTATTCACGTAAAAGAAATGATAAAAATTCACAATCACGTAAAATGCATTTATTCATTTCTCGGGTTCAATACTTAATTTGATAAAGTACAAATACTTGGGGGCGGTGTTACACGTGTTGCCAAAGTGTGGCATAAATACTTTATTAAATATTTCCGCTGCTTAATTAAATATTTTACATTATGATTGTTTATGGATGTACTATTGTGTATGGTATTCAAGACGCCTAATATAGTATGGATGAGTTGGACTGCGGTTGACTATTCGTACTGTATGACGGGTTGTTGACGTGTCCGGTAGGTCTGGGGCGTGACAGGTTCGACCCGAACCGCCGGTGGACCGGGCCACCGGGCCGGGCCGGTTCACACAGTAACCGGGCCGGGCCGGTTCCGGTTCGGGCCGCCCGGTCCGAGTCCAGCACTACTCTAATGCTTGAAAACGGATGCTGCTTCTTGGCATCATCAACGAATGTGAAGTACGCTTCTTGAACCACATCAGTCACAGCTGCTTTGACAAAGCTTTGAGCAGTCCAGTTGAGTCGGAGGAAGAAAATCTCAGTGGGTGAGATTCAGTGGCGGACCTAGGCATCGGGACCCAGTGTATGCACATATATAACACTAATAATATATACACTACATTTAAAAAAAGGCTAAATAAAATATATAGGTATAGTAAAAGAAAAAGTACCTTTTATAGTTGTCCTCGGTGTGCTTGCATATTTTGAAAGTGTTGAATAATTAACTCATCATCAATGCTATCAAACACATCACTTTCTATATAAGGAACTAGACAGTCATTCATCCAATCATCTTCCATCCGATTTCGCAACTCGGTCTTCACAATTTTCATGGCTGAAAAAGCTCTTTCAACCTTGGCGGTAGCAACAGGTAATGTCAGTGCTAACTTCAGAAGTAAATAAACTAACTGATAAACACGATGTTTCCCCGTCTTCACCAACATCTCTGTAAGGCAAGCAATTCCTTTCAACTCTGAAAATTCATCATTACTTTGCATATCAATAATATAAGTCTCCAACTGGTTTTCAAGAACTACTAGCTCCATACTTGAGAAATCACTTGGATAAAATGTAGCAAACTCAATCAACTTGAGCTTGTCAAAAGCTTCAAAGGACTTGTCTAGACTCAACCACCTTAAATAAAGAAGCAACTTAGTGTTGGACTCACTAAAATGGTAATTAAGTTCTTGAAGTTGCATATCCACAATTGTATAAAACAAGTCATACCGATAATGCTCCCAATATTTTATATCCTTAGCTTTGCGCCGTGACCTGCCTTATGGTATAAATTTGTCTTCCATATTAGGAATGTCAAGATCATGAACTTTGCAAAAAGCAGACACTTCCTCCAATAATGGATCCCATCCATCATCTCTCATATCTTGCAAGCGTCCCTTCGCAATAGATACCAATTGCATCGCATTAAGGATATCTTGATCCTTTCTTTGCAATGCTTATTGTAATTTATAAAAATAGTACTTATTGTAATTTTCTGAAAAATAAACTAACTGAAAAATATTAATAAACTAACTGAAAAATAAAAAAAGTAATTTATAAATTCAAAATTACTTATTGTAATTTTCTCAGTTACAAATATAGGATTCATAACATAGAAAAGTAAAACTACACTAACTGTTTAAATAATTAATTCATTAAATGTTAAATGCATTGAAGTATTAGATATTAAAGAATACAATATTAATAAGATTTTAACAATTTAGGGCTAGAGAAATGAATAAAACCTTGGGAACTAGAGTGAATGCATATTGCAACTTCGACCCTCTACTGTTATTTTGCTACTACTCTTCAATTTCATACATAGACAATAGATATACATATTGATAGTTAACAATAATAATTTGAACAATGATAACAATAATTATTAACTAATAAAGATTTAATATTAGAGAAACAAAAAGTTTGAAATAAAGCTTAGGAGTAATCGCTAGTTTGTGAGAGAGAAGATGCTACTTACGGATTTTGAACGAGAAGACTAGGGATTTTGGCATTTTGCGCACTGAAGAAGCAGAATTTGGCGGACCAGTGATTTTAGGGTATGTTTCGTCGTTGCTGTTTTCTAAAGAAAAGAGGATAGGGATTTTGATTTTTGAAATGGGTTTAATTAAATTTTTTATTGTAAAGCATTAAAATCCATACACTACCTAGTACCTACTGTCCAATATTTTAAAAAAGAAGTCAACGGTCCAGTCCACAAGGCAACAAAGAGTAGAAAATAAGAATTAAAAGGTCCATCTGCCCGGCCTAAATGCTTTAAGTATCAAGCTGAGTTTCTGGGAAGTGTTCCAAAAAATAATAATTCAGGTGTAGCTACTACCACATAGGTTAACAAGACTTTTTGAGGTGAAGCCAATGCTTACCCTAGTAATACTATAGGTCCGCCCCTGGTGAGATTGTAAAAATAGGAAGACGAGGTGAACGTATACGGCAACATGAAAGGGGCAAAATCTGTCAAGCACTTCAAAACACTCCAATTTGGAGTGTTAAAAAAGTCACTTATTCAGGTGTTAGGAAGGTTTCCTTTAACACTTACAAACACTTACTAACACTGCAATTTTTTTAAAAATTTTCTCCCAAACAAGTGTCAAGTCCAACACCTTTCAACACTTCCATTACTAACCCTCTTCAACACTCCATCCAAACAGGTCGTAAAAATAATTTTTGTTGGAGGGCGGTAGCCCCTGGATCTGTACTACGGTCGGCCTTCCATATGGAAAATTCTAGTCCCAAGTCTTACCGCTTTCTACTCCATTTTTATGGATTACAAATGGAAGGAATCAATCAGATATTCCACATTCTACAAACCAATGAATGATTGGATTTTTATACACGTTGCTCTATGTATTTTGATCAATATAAACGTATTATTTAGGGCACATTAGAGGCATTAAATGCTTCATTAATGGGGAAAAAATTCATAACGCACATACCCATTACAGGCGGAGAGTATAGATTCTACCGGAAACTAATTTACATTTTTACCCTTCATTTGAGCGCCAATTTTGCCTCCAAAATTTGTAAGCACTATGTTACTTTATACTACGTATTATATAAGGGAAAATGGGCAAATAGACCCTCGAACTAATCAAAAAAGTGCAAATAAGCCCTTTTGTAGGAGGTTCTGTCCTATCATCGTCATTTGGGGAGGTTCTCGGTAGAATTTTTTGAGCATCTTCTTCATTAAGTCTAGTTTAGCCATATCGAATTTCAGCTAAAAATTCAACCGGGAAGGCACTCAAATGATTTTCGGAAATATACTGCGTTGTTTAACTGCGCAGTTATCTTCAAAAATTCATTGGACTGTCTTCCCGGTTGAATTTTTAGCTGAAATTCAGTAGGACTAAACTAGACTTAATGAATAAGATGCTCAAAAAATTTCATCAAAAAATTCCACCGTGAACCTCCCCAAATGACGATGACCGGACGGAACCTCCTACAAAAGGGCTTATTTGCATTTTTTTGATTAGTTCGAGGGCTTATTTGTCCCATTTCCCATTATATAAAGATAAAGATGTCTATTCACGGTGATCATATTAACTATGCTACAAAGTACAAATTTCTATTTTGATTAATTAAAATATACGTTGTATTACATTATTAAATATTTCAATCAAATTAGAAAGATTCATATAAAATCATATCGGATTAGAAAAAATCAAATTTATTCAAATCATATCACAAAAATTTAGATGAACCTTAAATTTAAATTTTATCAAACCTAATTTTACCAAACCTAGTGGTCTAAATCCGGCTGAATATGATGAAGGATGATTTTACTTGAACTGAAATTTGTTAATCTGGTCTAAACTAGTCTAATCTGATAAATATCTTTTATTGTGTACTTTACCAATATTTAAGTATGTCTAATTTAGTCATTTAAGTGCCACGAAAAAATTAAAAATATCCTGAAATAAACCAACCTATGTCGCTAGTACGACCTACTCCCTCCGTCCCCTTAAGTTTGTCCCGTTTTACCTTTTTCGTCCGTCCCACTAAGTTTGTCTCATACCATATTTGGTAACATTTGAGTGGTTAGAATTGAAATAATTACCAAATAACGAAACTTTTCGTTCTGACATTCCCAAAAACGGGAGTTGCCATTAGGTTACCAAAACACGTTAGTCGGAATCTCCAATTCCGACAGGAATTTAGGTTTTTTAAAAAAACACCCTCCTCCAGTCGGATTAGGCACTTCCGACCAGGGGAGTGTTTGAAATTTTCTAATGTTCCATTAATTTATTTGTCTAACCCGAAGGAATTAAAAAACAGTAATAATAATAAAATAAATTACCTAGTCGGAATTGTGTAATCCGACTAGGGGTGTTCGATTTTTTTAAAAATTTGCTTTTTATCCTTGTCGGAAATGAGAAATCCGACCAAGGAATATGTTTTAGAATTTTTGTTTTTTTAAGAATTTTTATGAAATTTTATAAATTAAGCTATATTTTGTTTTCTTTTAAGAAATTTTATAAATTAAATATTTTATAAATTAAATTGTTATCTAGAAGTATTTATTTTACTAATTTTTAAGTCATTTAATTAGAGAAGTTCACATTTTATAATATGACACGTTTAAGTAATTTTTAACTCATTCAATTACATAAGCTCACATTTTATATATTTATTTTTTGTAGTATATAATATTATTGAAATTTATGAATGTATCTATTTTGTACAGTCATAAACTCGGGTGAAGAGTCGGACGACCCAGACTGAATGCCTTGATGACATGGTGCTTTGGTCGGCTGATGTGATGCTCATAATTTGCAATATGTTGAAAGGCATTACCGCAATTGATTTCTTCGGTAGTTCAATATTTTGCAAGATATTCCAAAAAACCCAAAGCAGAGTAATGATCATCACACCAATCATATCGGTCCAACATATTAACCGGTGCCTTAACATTGTGGGTGAATGTGCTAAATTATATATACTACGATACAAGCCAAAATACGATAAATGGAATTAGGTTACCAATATATGAGAGTCGGATTCCACAATATAAAGGTTCAATAATGATTGAGAACATGTGTTATATTTTATTTGACCCGATAAAATAAAATACTACTTCTGTTCTCTTTTAATTGCGACATTGGACTTTTGGGATATATTGGGATGACCTCTAAAAACAGTTTGAGAATTGAAATACAGCTTTCGGGGTCAAATGTACACTTTATATGACGTTACATTTTTTAACTTCATATCGGTAATCAATAAATGTAGGTGGATCATCCCCAAGTCATATAAGGGATCCCCAAGAAATATGGCCCATTCATGATGAGCGAACATGGCGTCATTTTTTCCGGATCGCCACAAATGAGTATGAGGAGTTGCACATTTACGTGGAAGCTTCAGCGACCCCGCCACAAAATTCGACGTTCCACGAAACTCATGGAGTGGAAGGCCCATCATCAAGTCGGAGGAACAACCGCCATCATTAGAGTAAAATAATTATATAGCTTAAATAAATATGATAGGACAAATTAATAACATATACTTAATTAAATATGATAGGACAAATATATGACATATACTTAATTGCACATATTCAAAGTGGTATATACACCCAAATATTCCATATATATATATATATCTTTAACTTAATTTGCCTTAATTTTTTTTAGGAACATAGAAGTAGTAGATTTAGTAATTTGTAAATTTTTTGAAATTTATTTGTTAAATTTGAATTTTAGGGTTAAATTTAGCTATAAAATACTTGAAATTTAGCTATAAAATACTTGAAACCCTATAAATAGCTAAATTTTAGGGTTAGAAATTTAGCTATTGCTTACCTGTAGTCTCGGTTGATGGGACTCACTTGTATGACAAATACAAGGGGGTTCTTCTAGTAGCGGTAGCCATGAACGCTAACCGTGAGATATTTCCTCTTGCATATGCTGTTGTTGAGAGTGAGAATGCTGACAGTTGGTCGTGGTTCTTTAGCTGGGTTATGCGTGATGTGGTTGGAAGTCATCGTAGTGTGTGCATTATCTCCGATCGTCATGCAGGAATTGAAAGTGCATTTAGATCCTTGCCAGAGTTGAGATCGCCACAAGTTTCAAAGCGTTATTGCCTCTGTCACATACGGAGTAATTTCATGACCAAGTTCAGAAACGCGGATCTGAAAAAATTGTGTTGGCAAGCTGGTAGCACTCCCACAGAACATGAATTTCACGAATGTATGCAACAAATACGAGGCATAAATGAGAGTGCCTTTTTATATTTGAATGAGATTCCTTATGAGATGTGGGCCCTGAGCTATGACGATGGCAAGAGATATGGCATTTTGACGACAAACCTTTCAGAAAGTTTTAACAATGTCTTAAAGGGATGTCGCACATTGCCTATCACCGCACTAGTACAGGCCACATTCGATAAAGTCGTCCAACTGTTTGCCGATCGACGAAATGCGGGAATAATGTGGCACCAAGCTGGATTCTTATATCCAAAGAACATATGGAATGCTGTTCTTGAGCGATCCCAGCGTAGGTATCAGACAACTATTGTCCCGCATAATTTCACAACCGGGATTTACTCTGTAGCCATTAGTTCGCATGATCCGGTGACAATCGATCTGACAAGGCAGGAATGTGGTTGCGGGTATTGGAAGCAGAATGGGCTGCCATGCGTTCACGCATATGCGGTTTGTCGGTTTTTAAAAATATCCATAGACGGCCTCATCCCAGCTGTGTATTCGTTAAATGCGTACATCTGGACGTACGCTTCTGATATTATGCCTATTAATAATTACGTGCGAGAAACACAACATACACTTCTCCCGCCCACAAACAACAGATTTGCTCGAGCCGGTAAGCCACAAAGAACTCGATTTCCCAACGAAATGGATTTGCGTGCTACGCGTAGAGAGAATGGGTAATATTGTATTGTATATTTGTAATGAAATTTAAGTTTTGCATCCAATTTGTAATGAAATATTTGTTTCCCTTTTCGGATCTGTTTCATTGTATGTGACGTTTTTGTTCAGATTAAATTCACATAAAGATAATGATGTAAATTTTATCAGATAAAATTTATCTGATGAAATTAAGTAGATAAAATTTAATAAGATAATTGCAATAACATAAAATTTAA